GGTCCGAATTGAATCGAAATACATATATATATATATATATATATATATATATATATACATATATATATATAATTCTTAGGAAATGAAACTATTTCTTGGTCAGCTACAAGGACTTTTCTTTAAGAAGACTTTTGATTAACACAACATGGTTTTCTCATTTGACAACCTTTGATTGGCCCATTGTATTGAACATCATTTATAATGTCTAGAGAGTATAATTTCACTACGTCCTAGGAATACAATTTTCACGTGTAAAACAAATTGCAATAAATACGTTTCCCAAATGTTCCATTAATTAAATAAACATGAAATAGAAAAGTAACACTTCAACCAATAAATGTATTAAATATATGTATCCGTTTTTCATTACGAACTGAATCATTGTGAGTATATGTACTGTTTTCCGTCTCTATGAAACACATGCTACCATCAAACTACGCGACAGTTGGTTGACTATATTGTATAATTAGGTGTTAATCAGCGAACTTCCCCCACCATCCCATAAAACCTTTCTAATTAATTTGTTTGATTTCTAGGTTGATTTATGGCTAGATATTACAAAAAAGAATATTCTAATTACGAAGAGGAAAACTGATGTTACCCAATACTATTACAAAAAGTGTCTACTATTAATTTATTTCGATTTTAGTTTACATTTGAAGATATCCCCAATATATTCATCTCTTGATTCTTAACATAGTTGCTACAAAAATCGGACTTGTATCGAAATATTAATTCTCTTTTTGAATATTATATAGTTGTTGTATACGAAGATTAAATTATGGGTAACTTCTGGGAACTGTTTATGGACTGTTATTATACATGTATTCTTATTGTATAACTGTTAAGTAATCATATTATATGTATATTCATATTCTTTTTATTATAAGCTTCCATTTGACCTCTTGACTACTGTTATACGATTTACCGTTCTTAAGTTATTCCCAATTTATTGGTTACTGTATCTCACGCTCACAGCTACTTTTTTGCCTGATCATGTATAATTGTTATATCTTTTTATATGGCATGATGCGGTCTGATTCACTTGTGTATAAATTGCGTTTATTGGAAATATATGATTCATATAGCGGAGGATGATATTAGAGTTCTGGACTTAACCGACTGGGTTAGGAAAGTAGCTACTATTTCAGAGGACCGATAAGAACTCAGAGTTGACTATACGCTGCTCGCACTGGTTTATGCGTTATTCGTTTGACACAGTGCCAAAGTCATATAAGTCGGTGTTTTTAATTGGCGATTTAGTCATATGAAATATTAGCCGATCCATAGGGCAGAATAGTAATCTAGTAATCAATAAAGTGAACTTCTCAATTTTAATATAATTTATTTATGTAATTATAATCATCTTTCTTCTAGTTACTCAATTGATCATTCGATATTATTTTGATAGTCACTTGGAAATTTTACAATTAGTATGTTACATCGTTACTTGGTTAGTACTACATTACTGTTGTGATTTATATAGGCATATATTTGTGTAGAGCAGTGGTGAAGAAAACTAATTGAAAAAAGGCTTCCCCGCTCTATTTGCCTATTTACTAATTTACCTTAGTCACTAAATCAACATGTGATACTAAATCTAATGAAAATAATTGAAAAAATATTTGTTTGTTTTTGTAACCATGATCCTAGGAATTTAGTTGTAATGAAAAACAATGTTCTTTGTAGTGTAGTTCCTAGTTACCCTCAACAATATATTTCAAATTAATATCGTCGAAGCCCGCAAACTAATAACTAATAAGGAATTATAAAGCTGCTAGGAAGAAGCACGCAAATTTTAAAAAAATCAACGCTAGTTGTTTCTTAACAAGTTAATTTGTAGAATTTTAAAGAGTATTTACTGAATGCTTATTTATATATCGTATTTGTTATAGATTAATTTCATCTGAGGTACCCGTGAAAACCAGATACCACTAAACGGTCATTTCGTCCTAGTCCTCAGCAGTGTGTGCTGACTACTCCTATAGGGATTAAGCTAAGGATATTCAGGTGTTGGAGAAGACGCTTGGCCATTAGGGCCCTGAGTCAACAACCAACAGTACAAATCCATCTTCAATCAATTCACGTCATGATGTGATGATCATCCGGTGCCACTGTAGACGACTGTTTCACTCTCACTACATAAGGACTCCACATTTTACTAGTTTTCACTAGAACTCCTAGAATATCAAGAAGTAGGTTGCTGGTCTACTGGTAAGTAAAGTTTAACTGAACACGTTTTGTGTATATTGATTTATTTTTGTAGGCTTCATTGATCAAAGCCTGATCTTAATTACAGTATCAAATTAAACCAGCCTTTAATTAAAATATTTTCCTTAAAATATTCTTAAATATTTATAGTTATACACTGTTTCCTTTTATGAATTCTTTAAATATTATTTTATATTTTACTGACTAATGAAGATAACAGTCATCTAATTATAAATGAATTGATTGGTTTTATAGGGAAGTGATATTTTTACAACTGAATAATTACTGAGTAGTAACCAGTTTCAAGTATCACAGATACGATTTACTGACAAATGCAAAACAGCATGAAACGTAATTCTAGGGTTTATTGTCGATCACCTCCAACCACCATCATATCAATATAATTTTAGTTAGGCATCTATTGAAATTAATCAGATTGTAGTACAATAAGATCTTGTAGTTTAGGTATTTATTCATATGAATTATGGTATTCTTTTCCAAATTACAATGCAGTACGCTTTTATGGGGTTGCCACTGTTTGAATTATTTATTCGATAAACATGGTTTGTATTACATCACCCATTTCTCACTGGTACTTTCTTCAATACAACCAGTTTTTCCGTTCTTCATTACATGTTCTATGAGAAGTCTTATTTTTAAATTCAATTTTTACTTGACTTACACTTAGAATCCGATTTATCTTAATCTTTTGTAAAATATTTTCAGTGATGATTAGTAGTTGGCAGCTATATTTTCTTTTTTTTCGTATTAACGATAATAATTCTGAGCTAACTGTTTAAATATTTGAAGAATATTTTAGCCATTCCCTTGTAAATAAAAAGAAACGGTGGATTTTTTAATGTTACCAGTTATAGTGTTATCAATATTTTCTTTTAATTATCTGCCATTATTCAATCAACGCTAGTTACATATTCACTTGAAATTGTTTACTTGTATCTTCTCATTGATATTTAGGTCTGCAATTGATCAGTCACTTATTGGTATATATGTATCCTGTGTGGATTGCCTAGATATTGGCATAATTCGGTGGAACAATTCAGATAAACAAATACAAAATGAATTAAACGTTATGTCATTTCACAAGCTAGTAGCTATCTGGACTTAGTAGATAAGTGAATAACGCGATAACCTTTAAAGTGAATAGTAATAGGTTCGAATCCTGAAATAAATAATAAATCTTGAATGTAATGCATCCAGCTAAAGAGTCCTAAATAGGACAGAGAGTACGTCATGGATTCTACTGATATCCATTATCCGTATCTGTTTATAATTTATCTTATTATTTTTTTCAGTTCAAAAATATGCATTTTAAATATATTCTTATGAATTGTATTAACAGTTTTGAAAAAGAAGTTTTTTTCATGATTGATACATACCTTATTAAGTAATCTACTAGATTTTAATAATAAATAAATAATAAATAATAAATACTAAACTATATAATGATTGATATGAGATTAATTCATTTCTAATAATGTCCCCAAATGACCTGGTACGGCCGAAAGTGGGCAGAGTACGCCCTCCCTCTCTAAATTCTCTCACATGGCCACACGTATATAGCCTCTGTCAGGGAAATCCTACTCGCTGCTTTCTCGTGGCATTACTGTTGTTTGCGAAATTGAGAGGACGAAAAGCGAATGTCCGGCGCCTTAAGCGGGTTGGTGGACACAGAAAGTTCACCTAGGGAGTTGGAAAACCGTGATTCCAAACCAATGGTGCACTTGGGCTCCAGTATCCTGATGGGACAAATGGCGTATGAATGAATCGTTGATCACCGGCTACCATGGGACTGCATCTCCTCACGATGCTCCACTGCCTTGTGGATCAGACCTTTAGGTCAAAGGCTCTGGATGTGGCCCCCTAAGGAAACCATCTGTTTCAGTTTGGGCATCTGGGCAGTATCATAGCTCTCATGCAAATCAAATGAGATTTGTGTGGTGCATATATCTATATCTATATATATATATATATATATTAGTTTAAATAAATAAATAAATTTCTAATAATAAATTTACTGGTTATAATTTTTAAGTAGTATTAAACAGTTTTTATTTAAAGAAGGATAAATATTTTAAAAAAATTATTATACATGAGTCAATTGAAGCTAGACCATTATGGAAAACCTGAAATACTGAATGCGCACGGCTGAGGAGTCCCACAATATGACGAAACAACAGTCCAGTGTGTCCACATTTTCTATGGTGGTCTAACTTCAATTCATTCATTATCTCAACTATATAAAATTACTATAATATCTACAAAAAACCCCTTTTTGATATTAATTATTATACAGGTTATGAATTAATAAAAAGTTAAACAGAAAAAAGTATCATTTCTTTGTTAAAATAATTCAGTTGATTTTTTTAAAAATTTTATTTCATCATTATTTATTCATCTATTTATTTATTCATTTATTTAAACAAAACAAATTGTATATAAAAATCATAATCATCATCATAATTTGAATTGTGCGCGCTCAACTTTTAAATATATTTAATATATAATTAAAATGTAATTTAAAATGAATTATTTTAATTATAATCGATAACATTTTTTTCATCAGTTTCATTTTCATTTATTTTTTTCTTTCAATTTTTTTTCTTCATACAATGAATTAGTAATAAAAAGAGAAAAAAGAAGACGAATTTCTTTTTCTTTTTTTTGTTACTGAAAGTATATGTCAATAGTAGATGATACATAACGTTATTTCTGTTTGAAATTCAATAAAGATTAAAATCAAAATGCAGTATATGAGTATATAATTTTAATTAAATGTTCATAGGATTAGTTTCATTGTTAGTAGTATTAGTATTAGCAATAGTGGTGATCATATTGGAAGCAATCGTAGTAGTAGTAGTAGTAGTAGTATAAACTGTAGAGGGATGAAATGTTAAATGACTACGTAACCCTTGAGTGTTATAATCCATAAAAGGTTTATTATGATAATAAGTACTTTGATTATTATTATTATTGACAAGAGTAATGATGTTATCATTGGTATGACTTAATTGTTTATTTTCTTCCATAGATAATTGATTATTAAATGTTTGTGAACTAATTAAATTCCAAGATTGATTAATTTTATTATTTAAATTATTAGATATAGATGATGGAGGACTAGTTGTTATTGATGTTGTGTTATCTTCCATTTCATGATAAGTACTACCTAAAATTTTATCTCGTATACGTTTCTTTTGTTTCATTCGACGATTTTGAAACCAAATTTTTACTTGAGTTTCTGTTAAATTTAAATCAGCTGCAATTTCAATACGTCTTGCACGTGATAGATAACGATTAAAATGAAATTCTTTTTCTAATTCAGTTAATTGTCTAGTTGTAAAATTTGTACGTCCACTTAGTGAATTATTATTATTATTATTAATTATGTCGTACTTTGATTGATTATTGCATTCTGTACAATCAATAGAACGTTCATTATTATAATTTAGTATAGTTTCATCTCGATGTAAATTATTTATAGAATCATTCATAGTTGTACACGGCAATGGATCATAATTCATATTAGCGTTAAACATTCTTTGATTAGATTCCATATGATCTGATAATTCAGACATCCATACAGATGAATTTGTCTCAAGAGATGATGTAGCATTGATTTTATTAATTTCAGAATTATCTTGAAATTTTGCATTATTAGTGAGTAGGAAATTATTTGAATTCGATGAAACAATGGATTTTGATGAATTAGATTTTTTAATTGTATTTGATTTGGTTGTAAATGTATCTATAAAATAAAAAAAGAAAAATTACCAGTATGAAAACGTAAAGTGTTCAGTACTCTGAGTACAGTGATTACTCACTGAGATAAGACTGCTGTCATGTTTTTTTGGTCATTTTAGGGATGTTGAAATTCAATTGACCATGGAAGAGCATAGGACGCTCACTAGCATACTCCATCCAACTCTGTCTTGGGCAATCCTTTCTAGTTCCTCCCAGTTGCTACTCATTCTTTTGATGCTTCTTTCCGATTTTCGACAAAATGTATTCCTTGGTCTCCCTCTTTTCCATTTCTCTTCAGGATTCCAAGTTAGTGCTTGCCTCGTGATGCGGTTTGATGATTTCCGAAATGGATGTTCCATCCACTTCCAACATATTTCCCTGATGTCCTCTTCAACTGGAAGTTGATTTGTCCTCTCCCACAGTAGACTGTTGCTCATGGTATCTGGTCAACAATGGACATTGAGTGTCTTACGTAGATAATTGTTTATAAATACTTGCACCTTCTCGATGATGGTTGTAGTAGTTGTCCAAGTATCAGCTCCGAACAATAGAACTGTGTTGAGGTTCGTATTAAATATTGTGACTTTGATATTGGTTGAGAGTTGTTTTGAGTTTCATATGTTCTTCAACAGTGGGAATGTTGTCCTTGCTTTGCTCATCCTTGCCTATATGTCTGCATCCGATTCTCCTCATTCATCGATGATGCTACCCAGGTACTTAAATGTTTCCATCTCTTCCATAGATTCTCTATCAAGTGTGATTGTGTTGTATTTGAGGATGTTGCTTCTGCCTTGTGTATGTTGAGACCGAATGATGTAGAGGCTGTTGCTATTCTAGTTGTCTTCATCTGCATTTGTTCGTGTGTATAGGATAGATGAATCAGTTGATCTACGAAATTCAAATCTTCTAATTGATTCTGAGCTGTTCATTGTATTCCGTGCTTCGCTTCAGATGTTGAGGTCCTCATAATGCAGTCGACCACCATGAAGAAGAGGAATGTGTAGAGTAAGCAGCGTTGTCTGACTCCGGTCCTCATTTGTAATGCATCTGTCAACTGTCCTGTATGCACAACTTTGCACTGTAGTGTGTTGTATGAGTTCTGGATAATGTTGAATATCTTCTGAGGAATTCCATAGTGTCGAAGAAGTTTCATTAATGTTCTCCTAACATGTTGTCGAATGCTTTCCCATAATCAAAGAAGTTGGTGTATAGTTACTAGTTCCGCGCAACTGATTGTTCAACAATGATCCATATTGTCGCGTTTAATCTGCGAACTACCGATACTTACGGAATCCAGCTTGTTGATCTCGAAGTTGGGCGTCCACTGAATCTTTAATCTGGTTCATCAACACTCTTTTGAAGACGTTTCCCGCTACCGATAGTGATGTGATGCCTCTGTAGTTCTCACATCTACTCAGATTTCCTTTCTTTAGTATCATGATGAGGTATCTAGGTGGTTAGATAAAAAGCCCTAAATATCGTTTTTTTTCTATTTGGCACTAGTTAGTGTGGACCACGACCGATATCCTGAAGAACTGAGATATCTGTACTGACTGATTACTGACTATTGACCAATAACATAGCCCTTAGCAGTAATGATTCATTTTGTAAACCTTTGTGGCATAGGTTCAAATCTACCTGGGAGCACCATTTCCTTGGAGATTGCTGATTCACCATGTTGACACGTGTCATCCATCACGAAACCTAAATCCTGGATTTTCTACTGACTTTATGGCCATCCAACATCAAATACTTTAGGCAAATTCGATACAGTAAGCAACTGAAATCCTCAAGTTGAACTTTCATTCAATTTTTAATGATTTATTTCATGTCAATAAACCTACAATTATAATACTCATTTCATCATGGAATAATTTTTAGAACTTTTATTAATGTCAGTGGAAGGTTAGAATCAGTTATGTAATATTTTTATTTTTAAATGGATCGGTCAATATCAATGTATATTTCAAAGACCTAGAAAATCTAGTTCATCAATCACCATTGACATTCATAAGGTAATGTAATTTGTGTTCTTAGCAGAAAAAACCATAAATGTTTAATGAGTTGACCTAAATGATTTTCATGGTCTTGCTTCATATATTTTTGGTTAATTTCATCAAAAACAAAGTGAAATGTGTCGGTAACGATTGAAAAGTAAGGAGCATCAAAGAACTATTTATTTTTAGATCGAGTTATATTAGCAGCAAGCATTCATAACTCCACAAAAGATCGCAATGAGAGCATTCAGTACCTCCTGCTAGTACGATAACAATGGAAAACTAAGTTTAGAATCAATAACAGTCAATAAGAAAAGTTACCTTCAGAATCTATTAAGATACTAAATGTCCACTCAGTTTGATAGTGTAGGAATTAGAAATTGTAAAAAATTGTTGAAAGTAACCTTATTTCATTTTCATGTGAATCATTAGTAGCTTGTCTTTTATATAGTTAAGTAGAATAACAGATTTATTATTTCCCATGTTCATGCTAACTGACTTGAGCTACAATGAGTGTTCAGTAATAATCTTCCTTTGCTAAGAAGTTAAGAGTTATTATTTTAATGCCAAAATACATAGTAATTTCTTAAGATTGTTATACATTTCGAAAAGTAAACTCAATGAAGTTGTCATCAGGGTTACCTAACAGACGAAATGCTATAATACGATATTGAATTATTTTATTGAATTCCTCAGTCAGTTAGTTACCTAGAAAGAATATGTTTTAGCTAAAGTTGACCAATTCCACTTCAGGATAATGGGCATAGAAATTACAGAGATGGCAATCAATGAAGTGCAATCATTAACTCCAATGGAAATGTGAGAAATATAGTCCAAATAAATAAATAATACAGAATAATGAACAGTCTGAACTAACACTTAACTCAAAGCTAACATCAGATAGACAATAAATGAAAGTGGATTAAAGTAACCAACTTGGTTATATATCACTCAGTCACTGATTACAATTATTATATAGAACTCAACCAAAAGTCAAGAACTTAATGGATTGATTTTATGTCTTTCCTTTAACACACTCATATACCAACCAGCATTGGACACAAGTGTATGCATTTATATATATATCAATAAATGCTTCATTTTGTGAAAATCTTCATTGTCATAAGTATCTCATAGAAAATCTTAATAAATTAATATTGTCTACAAAGGGAAACAAACAAAAATGAACATTTACACCACAAGACAAATCTTATTATAAAGACCTTTTGTACCCGAAAACTTTATTGTTTTAATTAATATTGACAATTTAATCAAATGTGTTTAGTAAATTTGTTATCATAGTAACTACATTGTGACTAACTAATTAACTAACTGACTGATCATCTGTTGCTTTTTTTAAACAAAGAATTCATTGAAAACTGTGTCTATATGATGTATAAACTATTGAAAAATCGATAATATTTTGATTAGTTTTCTTTTTTATAAAAAAAAAAGAAAAGAAATAAGGAATAGGATATACAAGGGAAAAAAACCCAAAATCGATCAATTTATAAATGTTAAATTATTGAAAACTGACATACTTTCTAAATGAATGATATTTACATTTTCATTCATTTTACTTTTTGAAAAATAAAAAAAATGTTTTACTAACTGTGAAATTAGAAAAAAGAAACACAACAACAGAAAAAACAAACAAATAGAACAATAAAAAAACGTTTATTTTAACTATATTGATAAAAGTTGACCAATATCATTAGGTTTCTTTTTTATTACCATTGAACACTTATTAATATCGCTTAATCTTATTTAAATAATTAGAGAATTAAAAAAAGAAGAAAAGGTATAATTGAAATGATAATTGACAAATGAATATTCGAGAAGGTGGTTTTGTGGAGACTTTAGTAATTTTATAAAGTTAAGATCATGAGTCAATTATAGTTAGATCACCGTGAAAAACCTGGAAACACTGGAAGGCTGTTTCGTAATATTGTGGGACTCCTCATGCAGTGTACATCCACGATCCCATCTCGCGAGATTCGAATCCAGGTTATATCAGTCTCACGCGTTAGCATTTAACCTCTAGACCACTGAGCTGGCTGGCATCCAACGGTGTTAATGTCTAACTTTAACCAATCCACGAAATTCAGCAACCGTCTATCATTGTCTTTAGTGAGTTGATATCTCACAACAGACCTGGTTGAAGTTGCGAGGCGGGATCGTGGATGAGCACTGCTGAGAAGTCCCATAATAAGACGAAACGGCCGTCCAGTGCTTCCAGGTTTTCCATAGTGGTCTAGCTTCAGTTGAAGAATTCAAAAGAAGAATTTGTCTAGTCTTGCTGATAATATTTGAAAATGAATGTAAAATTAAAACTTACTTTAACATTAAATACACACATAGAGACATGAAAGTAGATGAATTAACATAAATATACACCAGCATAGTTTTAAGTAAAAGTTTTGAGTTTTTCTTTTTTAATTAGGAATTGAACAATCATAATACGAAAAAACTAATAATGCATTCATTCTGTCAGTTATTTTAATTTGACCCATTTTTTCTTGAAATTGGGAAATAAGTTTTAGGAAAGAACTTTCGTCTTAGTTAGTTAAGTACAACGAAGAACCTAGGACATATATGGATCACTTCAAGTTGTTACAATGTATTAATCCAGAGAAATGTTAGATTATTACATGTAGTGACATTAGTAATAGTTGTAGAAAAGATTGGACATAATAGATATGATTCGAAAAAACACTATGGATTCATACAGTAAAGTTATTTGTATTATTAAATGGACATGATAGTTTATACTATAATGAGAAACAAAAAAAGAGATTTAAAACTTAAAAACAAAAATTTGATAGCTAATCAGAATATCTAGTTATGATAAGATTATCATCATGTTGATTCAGATCAATTCACAGAAACCATTAAATTGATTACTTGACCTGTTTATAGTATAAACTTCATAAATGAAAAGTTAAAATAAATTGAACATTTCATGATGAGATGGTGGAGAAGATTTTTAGCTCAGGTAGATGATTTTAATAGAGTTTTGTTCTCTGAGCTGGATAGTTTGGAGCTTTCATTGTTCTTCTGAATGACATCATCAATACAAACCATCCAGCTCAGAGAACAAAATTCCATCAAGTACATTTCATAATTTACATCAGTAGAATAGTAAATGATTATAATTATCATAAATGATATTTCATATCTTATATTCATTACTAGTGTATTTGATTTATTATTTTTACTGGAAGCCAGGGTATTCACATATTTTGGATCTATTAAAAAAAATCAACTCACTGTAATATTCTCATTTGAAGGACAATAATCTCAGAAATATCCTCTTATATTATGCTTTCATCCATTTATTTCTAATGAAATAATGTCCTTCAATATAAATATACATAGATGCATACTGAAGAACATTTTATGAAAACCAAATATAAAGTAAGTATTTCCTGTAGTAATGACAAGTTTCAATTAATCTACTTAACTACTTTTATTCAAAAAGATTTTATAGTAGTATCGAATACTTCCTAAGAATGCTCAGTAATATATACCCTCATTTATTTCTAATTATCAATACTAATAACTATAAGGTAATTTACGTGATAAATAGACTTGTTAGTTAATGAATTGTTGATTTTCAGATAGTGTTGAATTGATATTTTATCTCAGATTGCAATTCCTCGGTTACATATATCCACAACACCTCTTAAAGGGATCAAGCTTGATGTTTCCTTTTTTCTAGACAATGAAACTTATATAACAATTTGGGATATTTCATTTTCTTTTCTTTACAGATTTATGAAAACACTAAGAATTCTGTTAAACCATGATTTCTTTCAATTGAAAGTTCTTTGAAACATATATTAATATTTTCTATATTTGTTTTTAGTATAATCGACTTTTGAATTGAGCGATATCATTTCAAAATTCTGTCTGTCAATTTTATTTAGCATAGTAAATAAAGAAATATTAGTAAATTTATAGTTGAATTCATAAGTCAATTAAAGCTAGGCCATCATGGAAAACCTGGAAGCACTGGACGGTCGTTTCATCCTATTGTGGGACTCCTCGGCAACGCACATCCACGATCATATACTCATTCGTCAATAGCTTCAAGAAGTATTCCCTGGAGTTCTAGTAAGAAGCATTGACCAATGGAGTTCAACCAGGTCTGTTGTGAGATAGTAACTCACTGAAGACAATGGTGAATGGTTGCTCAATTTCGTTGATTGGTCGAAGTTAAACATTAACACCGATGGATGGCGACCAGCTCAGTTAGGTCATGCGTTCAAGTCTCACGAGGCGGAATCGTGGATGCGCACTGCTGAGGGGTTCCACACTAAGACGAAACGGGTGTCCAGTGGTTCCAGGTTTTTGATGGTGGTCTAGCTTCAATTGACTGATGAATTTATGAGCAATTTCCCCCTAATGCCCTGGTACGGTCGAGAGTAGAGAGGGCTCACCCTCTCTCTGAAAAAGCTCTCACACGGCTACGCGTATATAGCCTCTGCCAGGGAAGTCTTGCTCACTGCCTTCTCGTGGCAAGGATGTTGTTCACGAAATTGAGAGGACGAAAAGCGAATGTCGTGCTCCTTAACCGGGCCGGTAGACACGGCGAGTTCACCTAGGGGAGTTAGAAAACTCTGATTCCAAACCAATGGTACACATGGACTCCAGGATCCTGATGTAACAAATGGTACATGAACCAATCGTTGGTCGCAAGCAAACATGGAACTGCATCTCCTTACGATGCTTCACTAGGTTGTGAATCAGATATTTAGGTCAAAGGCTCGGGGTGTGGCCCCCTAAGAGAACTACCTACTTCGATCTGGGCACTTGGGCAGTATCAGAGCCGTAACACAATTAAAATTAAATGAAAATTTTTTGTATGGTGCATATATATCTGGTGCCCCATTGTACCAATATTAATGTGTTCAAGTGAATAAATAAATAAATGAAAATCATGAGCAGTTAGATAATATAAAATGTAGGGATTTTTTGATTTTTGAAATTCAGTACCACTTCTCAAAATCATCTAAATAAAACAATGTTACCCTACTAGTTCATTTAATTTTTTTTGTGTGTTATGAATTCATTTTGTTACAATTTTTAAAAGATTATATGATGACAATTAAAGCTTATTGTATGAAAAAGGGAAAAAAAAATTTTCCAAGAGGATCCTGCTTACTAAATTTTTTTAAGGAAAAAAGTAAAATAGAAAATCGTTAAATGTGTTCGTTATGTTTGAAATATTTGAAAAGTTTCACTACCCTTTTAAATAAGACTCATCAACCAAATAGAAATGTGATTTTTATATTGTCTTTACTTCAATAATAACAAACAAACAAACAAACGATATAATATAGAATTCCTCGTATTATTTTGATGTACATTCATGCCTAGGGTATCATCATCATCATCATCATCATCATCATCATCATCATCATCATCATCATCATCATCATCATCATCATCATCATCATCATCATCATCATCATCATCATCATCATCATCATCATCATCATCATCATCATCATCATCATCATCATCATCATCATCATCATCATCATCATCATCATCATCATCATCATCATCATCATCATCATCATCATCATCATCATCATCATCATCATCATCATCATCATCATCATCATCATCATCATCATCATCATCATCATCATCATCATCATCATCATCATCATCATCATCATCATCATCATCATCATCATCATCATCATCATCATCATCATCATCATCATCATCATCATCATCATCATCATCATCATCATCATCATCATCATCATCATCATCATCATCATCATCATCATCATCATCATCATCATCATCATCATCATCATCATCATCATCATCATCATCATCATCATCATCATCATCATCATCATCATCATCATCATCATCATCATCATCATCATCATCATCATCATCATCATCATCATCATCATCATCATCATCATCATCATCATCATCATCATCATCATCATCATCATCATCATCATCATCATCATCATCATCATCATCATCATCATCATCATAGATGTTATAACTTTAAGGTGTACCATCAATAATATTATTGTAATGATTCCATCATATATTCATACTATGATGAAAATTGTTGTCATACATGATGAAATATGTAAGTGAATAAATAAAGAAAGAAAGAAAAAAAGAATTTTTTTTATTGTATTCATTTACAGTAAATACTACGTGTGTATTATTCATTATGATCACATGATACATACTCTATACAGTTTGATTAAAAAATTGAAAAATTTATACTTAATTTTCTTTTATATAATGAAGAAATAAATTTTGGCATTTAATTTAATTTAAATAAAAATCCAATATAATGAAATCAATATTAATGAAGATTAGATTTTTATCATTTTTAAGATTTTTCGTTTTTTCTTCTCAATATTTGTCACAAAAAATTAGTAGTAAAGATTAATAAATCTGATTAAAAACGGGATTTTTTGGATATTTTAGTAATTTTATATGGTTGAAATCATGAGTCATTTGGAGATAGATCACCATGGAAAACCTGGAAGCACTGGTCGGCCATTTCATCCTATTGTGGGACTCCTTAACAGTGTGCATCCAAGACTGGCTTCAAGAGGTATTTTCTGCACTTCTATTGAGAAGTAGTGACCAGTTGAGTTCAACTAGGTCTGTTGTGAGATGACAACTGACTGAAGATATTGGTGAATGGTTGCTCAATTTCGTGGATGGGTTGAAGTTAGACATTAACGCCGTTGGATGCCAGCCAGCTCAGTGCTCTAGAGGTAAAGCGCTCGCGCGCGAGACTGATAGGTCTTGAGTTCAAATTTGGCGAGGTGGGATCGTGGATGCACACTGCTGAGTAGTCCCACGCTAGGACGAAACGGCCTTCCAGTGGTTCCAGGTTTTTGATGGTAATCTAGCTTCAATTGACTCATGATTTTAACTATATAAAATTTGATTAAGATTGAATTTTTTTAAAAACTGTAATGTTATTCTATCAGTATAAGCAAACAAGATTTGAGCAGGTAAATGTTTAAGTATTTTAGATGGTTAAAATATTCTATCCCTTTTTAATGTCTTTTGCAATGAATACTTAAAGAAAGTTTATCAAAACTGATACTATGTAGTGCCGTGCTTCGATCATAGTTCGCTTCGATAACCGTTATTAATACCAATCTTAACGGTGTATAATATCAGAAGGCAAAGGGAAGCGGCAACTACATTTTTATTGATAATCGATGCAGACCAGAAAGTTGTAAGCACATGAGCAACTGTAAGCAAGCGAAGCAAAGATGATGCGTATTGGAGATGGCTGGGAAGCCAACTCATTTTAAGCAAGCGTTAACTAACATTTATAGGCAGGCAAAAATGAGTGACAGACATATGATGAATAAGATACGAAGTGTACACATATGCGCTCATATAAAAAGTACTCAAGGTTAATAAGCAAATGATTAACAAGATCAAAAGATGACTCAATGTACAGGTGAATTGGCTTGGCCAGTAACTAGAATAAAGTATATGGGCCTAACATATGAACTGGTACTACAACTATTCGACTTTGTTACTAATCTCATTTATCTAATAGATTAGAAATAAATATACAGATAAATTTTTATCGCAAATTACCATCCGTTAAAACGTTACTGAGACAACTGTAAAGCATCTGTTTAGTACAAAATTAGTCAGTAAACTACAGTCAACCTTTTAAATTAGATACGTAATATCTTGTTTTTTTAAGACAATATAAAAGAAAAATTATATGATATTAAACTACGTGACTTTTCAAAGTACTTCATTTGACTAAAAAAGAATTAACTATTATTTATTTAATCGCTACTGGTGACAAAATTCACGTGAATATCTTTTCGATAGTCTTTTATCTTTCAAATACTTGATAGTAAACTAGGTAATGGTCAGTTGTCGTAGTTGCAGTTCAATGTAAAATATTATGTAAAAATATCTGATAACGATCACCTGATATCATTAGAAAGTAAAGGCTAGTGTCATAATATGAACATCAGAAATCGACTAACAGATAGAGACTGTTATATAATATATTTGTTTAAGGTTTTCAAGCTAATATTATCCCATACCATGACTATCCTAATAAGATTTTTTGATGTTAACTTGTTACTAAAAATCATTTTTACTACCAAAACAACCTCTAATCGTTTAGTATCATTCATAACATCTATATAGAAAATTTATAAACAGCAATTCATGGGTAACCAGTAGGGTTAATGAAAATCAATCACTTAGAGATGATACAATGCAGTTATGACTGAACTTCTGATTTGTTATAACAAGACTAGTGCTGCTCACTGAGTTGCATTTGGATGTTAACAAAAATTGTTATATACACTGGAAAGAAAGTTCAGAATTATTATTGGTAAATACTACTAATATACTGCCAATTGGTTAAATATATATAGAGAGTGAGACTGATTAATGGTGACTAATTTCTACGACGAAATAAACTAATGATAAATGACAAGTTAGAAAGAATGCGACAAAACACATTTTTTGGCAAAACCAAATATTGATTCATATTAACCTTTGGAGATCTTAATACGCAAATTGAAAACAATATTGTCAACAACGATACATTTTAGACTGAACGAAATATTCTTTCTAAAAACAAATTTATGAGAACATACACACACACAATACATGTGTGCATATATACATGGTAAATATGTCAACACTCAGTATAACCCAACAACGTAAAAACAAAATATGTAATAGACGCCAAATTTCTTAATTTGTTGCTTAAACTCAAATTTAAATTGAAGTATGTTTCTTGATTATTATTTCTAAGCAGTTTATACCACATACTAAAGATTTGAATGCATATTTTTTAAGACAAAAGACTAAACTATGTTTTAACGAAATATTTAAGTAATAGCCAAATGAATTAAGTTATCCATAAGAAAATATGATTTACATTTGACTTCATACTATGCTTTCATTGAAGATAATTTGATATAACACAATACGAAGACAGTTTATATCAAGTTTGATCAAATGTGATTCCCAGATAACACGCACCAATCAAACATGTGGTAAATGGAGAGACAGATAATATCAATAGGGAGGACTAGTATAAATTATTATACAGATAGATGACTGACTATAAAGTGAATGGAAATGGTAATTCCTTAAAATAATGCAATACCAAGAAATGACATGAATACATGATTATATGTCTGCAATTAAACAAAACAAAACAAACAAAGCAATCAGTGAACAGCAGATAATCGATTTTATCTGTGATGAAACTTTTCAATAATAAATGTTGCTTTTCTTCTATATATCAGATCAGATTAAGAACATCCAAATCAATGACGACGAACCAATGATAGCCTTCGACGTAACGGCGCTATTCACTTCAATTGAACCAAGCTTAGCAAAAGAAACTCTATCCTTGCTTATAACCAACGACGAGAATCTCGCAAAATAATAAATGCTCTTGAAGTAAATGAGCGTCGTTATACTAAATGAATTACTGTATATTAGTTTTAATTATCTATGAATGACGACAAGTCGAGTAAATAGACAATTCTCATGAATTTGAGATTATGGAAGTGAATATATACTATCCGTTGTTTCTAAAGTTCGTAATAGTGTTCTGTTAAAGAATAATCAGATAATTATTTCTTATCAGTATAGAGGTTTATGAAGATTATTAAATGTTTGATTTAGTTTGATTCGTGATAATAATAAAATTATCACAAGGGGGGCTTGTGGAGATTTTAGTAGTTTTATATAGTTACGATCATGAGTCAAATGAAGCCAGACCATCGGTAATGTAATAGGTCAAGATTTATTGATTGTAATCATATTGATACCTAGAATAAACATTAAAAATGGTTCGGAACTAATTTCGTTTAATGTAAAAAAATATTTACATGAAACTTTGTATTAAGAAATGGTGAATAGGGGAAAAACAATGTGACACATCTGATGTAGTTTCCAATACTACAAATGTTAGTAATAATAAAAATGATATTGAACAATGAAGGTAGACAAGTTTGACGTGCGCATATACAAACGCACGAGTATTTACATGTAAGTACGTGGGTGTATAGAGAAAGTGGGGTAGGAGGTAGAGGAGAGGAATAATATGTAGATATTTTTTATCATAACAATCCTAAACCTTCCTCTTTATATTTGTCTTAGTTGCCAAAATGAGAAAATATATCAACGATAACTAGAAGCTAGACAATAAATAACCCTAAGCGTATTTCAACATACACTTTATTTATTCATTAGAATAACAACTCTCGGGGATTGCGAAATTTCATTCTTCCTCTTTTCTCTTCTCTTTGTTTTTACAACATTTGCTGACAATCTATAAGCTGATGAAATTTACTATGAAGAAAAACAAATAAGTAATTCATTTCAGTAGTGAAGAAAAGAAGAAGGGAATAGTCAAAACTGGCGTCCGGACAAAAAAAAAACACAGTTAGAATATGAGCTAGTAAGTGAGCGAGTGAATGAGTGAGTGGATTAATGATTGAGATAACATAAAAATAACAATAAGGCTAACACATAGTGAGTGTGTTTAATAATAAAAAAACCCGGCCTTTTCACTACCATCACTATTGTCACTACCATGTTTGATGTTTGTTATTCTTTCCGTTAAAATAACAGTAATAATATCAATACATTTACCATTGAAATTCATGGGATATTTGAAATAATGCCTGAGGCAGATGAATTATATTTGGCATAAATCCAACTACAATACTACTTCCTTATCAATTTATGAAATAAGATGTTATGAGATAAACAAGAGTGAATGCATTTAAATATATAACGTTTTTATTTGGAAAAAAACGAAACATTATAACGCAGAAATTGATGTTGACTTCTTATGATTTTTGTTGTTGTTATTTTAATTAAAATTTACTTAGTTACGCTTGTTACTCGCAATAAAGTATAGGCCATCGACCAGCATTCTCCAATGGAAGCAGCAGCTGCATCTGGTAACTGCCGGAAGCTCTTCCAACTCATCCGAGCCACTGGCAGCAA